GCTGCCGAAAAATAAAAGACAAGAGAAGCGGCCGGCGGCGGCGCCGCGCCGTTGTGTTGTTATTTAGTTAGTGAGTTATTTGCATCCGCCTTGTTGTTTGTTTTTTTTTTTTTCTCCTTGGAGCGGCTCGAAACTAATTTTTTTCTGGGTGATTTTCAAGGGCGAAATGGGATGGGGTGGTTCGGGAATTCATTTGCCTCTTTCCGTGGTTTAAAGTTAAAGGTTTCCGATTTTTAGGAAAACCAGCCCCGGGCAATAATTAACATTGATGATGGCCGGTTCTCGTCTGCAGCGTGTAACTCCCAGGTAGACCCCGGCGGGTCTGTCCCCTCCTTGTGTGGATTTTGGCGACACGGAAGAATAAAGTCCCGCGCGGAAATCGCGGGGAAGCCTCGGCTCAGCCCTCGCCCGTCCCTGTCAGCTCCGCCGCCGGCCACGCCGGGATAATTGGCTTATTCCCAGCGAGAGCGGTGTTTGTTTTGGTCGGCTTTTTAAAGGGGGGGAGAAGAAAAAAAAAAAACAACCCAAAAAACCCCAAAACCCCCAAGAGAAATGTGAGGGCAAAAGAAAACCGCTCTCGTTAAAATGGCAAGGAGCTTCCTCAGCCCCGCTCTGCATTTCTCTCCTCCACATACTGAAGGTATAAGCCCTCAGGTCCGTGATTTTCTCGAACTTGAGCCCCTTATTAGAAAGAAAAAAAATATGAAAAAATTAATAACGGTAAAAAGGAGGGATGGGGGAGCCCATCTCCCAGGCTGGGCAGGGCACTGCTCCTCCAGGACGCGGCCGCGGGCGGCTGCGAGCCCAAGCGTTATAATTCTGCGCACTTGCTCCAGACTTTAGGGTATTAGTTGATTTTAGAGCCGGGTTTAAGGCTCCGTTCCGGTCCCCACACAGCTGCCTTGTCAATAAGGATCTGTTCCAAGCAGACATTCCTTCTGGGAGGACATTGCAGCTCTTTAAGACTTCATCTGCAACATCATAAGTACTAAAATAAAATGGCAAGGGAAAATTACCAGACACATGGTCATGGGATATAGAAGCGCCCTGACTCCAGCGTACATAGTAAAGTCACTGTACAGACTGGGTGGCAGGGGCTTATTTTAAACAGCCCCGAGACGCGAAGTACATGGGAAAAACAACAATCCGGATTTAGGGAAATATCGGGACCGGCCTTTCCCATACCGTGTCGCGGGCAGAGGCTGCGGGCGGGGGGCGGGCAGCGGGAGGGCTCGGAGCCCTTCTCCGCCTCGGCCACAAACGCGCTGCTCTTAACTTTGAGCATTTAAAGTCGGATAAATCCGAATGCCTTTAGCGAAGACAAACAGGTTTTAAGGAGCCCCGCGACGGTTATTAGCACCCGCGGAGCCAACTCGCTCTTGAATCAAAAGCGTTCTGGAGTGTGCTTAAAATACTGGTTTCGACTTATCTAATCAAAGATAAATGCAGTCATAAAGACACCTCCTTCCCACCGCTCCCCTGCCCTTATCTCACCGCATTGTCCTCATCTCCCAGCCCGTCCTCGCTACTGACAATAGATTATCCTTGCTCGGGGAGCCTAATTGTTTTCTAATTTTTTAAATAATTGCTTTTGAGCGAGGTGTGCAAATGAGGATTAGGCTAATTAAAGCGCCGCCGGTCGGTGCGGTTTTGCCGCCCGCCGCCC